TACCCCCGGTGAGGAATATTCAATTCGGACATCAGGTGACCTTCCACGGGACCTGCAAGTTCTTCAGGAACTTTTGGCAAATCCGATACCGGGCGGCGTGCCAGGTTTTGTTTTTGTTGATCATTGTGGCGCAGCAATTGTTTTTTAAAGTCAGGGTTAGCGTTTAGAAAAACTTTTTGTGTAAGCTTATGAAGATAATCAATTCTACACACTCATCATGATAACTTTTGAAGGTGTTTTATTTACATAAAGGCCACAAGATTATCCAACAGAAGCGAAAATAAAATTATTACATTTAATATTTTCATACGATTATGCAGCGTGGCAGTTTTAATCATTTACAAAATTATTTATATTTCTATATTTCATTAATAAATATCTTTGCGAATTATTTTGTTATTCATGTCTCGTCATTTATATTTTTTCATTAATTAAGTTATGACTTCATCAGTATGGACCACTCTCGTTAAGGACCCGTTAAGGACCAGCTCTAATAACTTTAAATTTCATATAACTTATAAAAGACGGCAAGAATGCCTCTATGATGTTACATGATGAGTCATGGATGATATCTAGTATTCACCGCAGGTAATAATCGCCTATGTTATTAAAAGAAAAAGAATGGCACAAAAAAAATCTTTGTATACTTTTAGAGTTCTGTTTGATCGTAAAATTACCTTAAAGTGCCGAAATTTTGTTTTGCCAACACTTTAACACTTCAGTGATACCTTTTAGTTATGAACTTTAAAATAGATTCTCCAAGTGCATTTTTTCTAGGCGCATTTCGGCGGGATCATTGAGCAAGAAAAAAAAAAAAAAGGTAATCCCACATTTAAAGAGATCCGCATTTAAAATATTACACGTTTCCGGGACAAAAAAAAAATGGATTTGTATAATACAGAATATTGGTTTTTATTTGTTTTACAATTATTACATCAAAATGCACAATCTTTCAAGAGAGTATTTCAACTTTTCTACATATATAACGTTATATACCTTATTAGATTTTATTGAATATGCTAAACTAAAATTTCGTATACGTATATGTGAATGTAACATGACATGCTATTTTTACTAATATCGCGTTACTAAATAAGTGTAAATAAATATAAAACATTTATAAGTATTAAAAGACTTTAATAGTGAAAGGTGCAAAGAAAAAAGTATTAATATATTGTGGATATTTCAATGCGTAAGATTACCAATCCAATTTCTTATCACCACATGAAACATCTGCACAACCCGAAGAATTTGTCGTTCCTAACATCTGGATCATTGATGCTGATCTGTCCATTGTTCTTTCTTTTTGTTTTTTACCATTTTTGGTGACCTTCCATTTGCTAGTTCCAAGTAATCGATCAAGTTCGTGAGTTGGTGGAAGATGTAACCAAATATGATCATCTTCTACCTTTATATCAAAGGTCATTAGTCTCAAGTTTACATCTCCTGATAAACATTCACCTGTCTCCAAGGCAAAGTTCTTTTTATGCATCGGACAGCTCACTTTGATAGTCCCGTTTTCATCACCTACTATCCCTTGTGACAATACGAATGCTCTTTTATGTGGGCACATGTTTTGTGATGCATACCATTGAGTCTTATTATGTGTATTATATATCGCAATTTGTACGTCCCCATATTTAACGACCTGTCCCGCATCTTCCGGAAAATGATCTAATTTGGCAATTTTAATCCAAGCTTTTTCACCCGGATTTAATTTAATTTCTTCTTTAATAGGTTCTTCTGAGAATTCTTTGGGCCAATCGGCAGGACGTCGTTGTCCTCGTTCTGTTATATATTCAATACCCTCTGAAGTCTCCGGCGAATTTGCAAATTGTTGGAATATAGCGCGTCGACTAGGATTTTTAACTACTTCAGCCCATTCGCATTGATAAGTATAAATTAAACGGGACATGTCCTCTTCTAGTTCTTTACAAATTCCGAGATGGTCATCAATAATAACCTTGCGAAGATACTAATCATATGAATGAAAAAGAAATTAAAGAAATGTCCGACAATAAGCATTAATTTTCATATATCTAAATACCGTACCTCAATTCCTCCATCCTATATTTTTAGTGGAGAACAAAGTGAATAAAAACAATGTTTGAATTTTGAAAGTTACTAAAGGTGAATTTATTCAAAAGTACACTACCATCTTTTCGAGCCATCTTGCGGTTCTCGTCAAATGATCTGCTGTGTGAATATAATACATCAAGAATCGGTCAAGATACTTGATAGCATCTTCTTCTGAAACATTCTTCGCCAATAGAAGACCATGTTTAGGTTGAGAACCACCATTTCCGCAAACATAGACATTAAAACCAGAATCTGTCGCAATTAGACCAAAATCTTTTCCTTGTGCTTCCGCACATTCTCTAATACAACCGGATACTGCACCCTTAATCTTATGAGGGGCTCTAATTCCCTTGTACCGATCTTCAATTTGAATAGCGAATCCCACAGAATCGCCGATGCCGTATCTACACCAAGTTGATCCAACACATGATTTCACCGTTCTAAGGGCTTTACCATAAGCGTGACCAGATTCAAATCCAGCATTAACGAGCTCTTCCCATATTTGGGGAAGGTCATGTTTTTCTGCACCGAATAAATCAACTCTCTGTCCCCCTGTGATTTTAGTATATAATCCATAACGTTTAGCGACTTCCCCGAGAACAATAAGTTTTTCGGGTGTGATTTCACCACCTGGAACGCGTGGAACCACTGAATATGATCCACCTCGTTGAAGGTTGGCGAGGTAACGATCATTTGTGTCTAGAATACCCCAATGATCTAGAATAGGCTCGTTCCATAAACTGGCAATAATAGATGCGACCATCGGTTTGCACACTTCACAACCGGATGACCCTTCATTGCCAATTTTTTTGAGAGTTTCCTCAAAGTTCTTGAGCTTCTTGATTTTAATGATTTGAAAGAGTTCAGAACGAGTATAGTTAAAATGCGGACAAATATGCTGTGTTACAACATGACCCAAAGCTTTCATTTCTGCGTTGAATATTTCTGTCACAAGTGGTATACATCCTCCACAACCTGTACCGGCTTTTGTACATGATTTGACTTGACCGACAGAACGACAGTCACCACTTTTAATAGATTCACGTATCTCTCCCTTTGTGACATTGTTACATGAACTATAATTTAATATAAAAAAAAAAAAAAAGAAAAAAAATTTTTTTTGAATACCTAATACAATACGAAAACCTTAAGTTCCAATGTATAACTTACCAAATTTGAGCCTCATCAGGAAGATCATCTGCGCCCGGAGCTTGTCCGGACTTTACACCGAGAATAAGCTCACCAGGAGGCATAGTTAATGGTTTTTTAGACTTGAACAAAGCATGAAGTTTTGTATAATCTTCTGTATCACCAACCATTATACCACCAAGAAGATGTTTACCATCTTTGGAAAATATATATTTTTTATAAACCGAGCCGAAGGGATCATTATAAACCAATGGCATTGCCACGTCATCTTTAGCGAAGTAGTCACCAAAACTAGCAACATGAACACCAAGAAGTTTAAGTTTACTTGATAAATCACCACCAAGAAAGCGTTTATCAGAATCTTTCTTAGCAAGGTTTGCTGCGACAACATCAGCCATATCGTAACCGGGGGCAACAAGACCATAGATCATACCGGCATGCAAAGCGACCTCACCAATAGCATAAACATGAGGATCATTGGTTTGTAGTCGTTCGTCCACAAACACACCACCTCGCGCATGTGTCGAGATGCCGGATGCTTTCGCGAGCTCGTCACGTGGCCGAATACCCGCAGCAACAATTACCATATCCAAATCTATTACTCTATCCTCAAATCGAATACCATTAACTTTTCCTTCTTCATCAACAGTAATTTCTTTTGGAGGAACACCAAGAACGCATTTAATATCAAGTTTTTCTATTTCTTTTTGAAGCATTCTTCCGCCTTCGGCGTCCAACTGCCTGGCCATTAAGACCGGTGCCATTTCGATGATTGTCACATCCAAATTCAAATCCTTCAGAGCTTTGGCAGCTTCTAGACCAAGCAAGCCACCTCCTATGACAGCACCACGCTTCGAGTTGGCAGCGTATGCGATTATATTATTCAGATCCTCTATAGTTCGATAGACAAAAACCCCGGGTTTATTCCAACCAGGGATCGGAGGAACAAATGGATAAGAACCCGTGGCAAGGATACATTCATCATACGAAATTGAGAGACCACCCTCAGATGTAACGATTTTGGCAGCAGTATCAATATGTTTAGCTTTGTCAGAAACGTGAACAATCACATTATTTTCCGAGTACCAACTTAGAGGTTGCATGAGCATTCTATCCTCCGAGCGATGAGAAAAGAATTGCGTCAAGCCAACTCTATTATAAGCAACTAAAAAACAGAAAAAAACATGTTAGAAATGTCAATTTTTTGTATCTGAACGTTTAATCACCAATGATACGTGCCTAAAGGTTCTTCACAAAAAACTTCAACCCTGAATTTGTGTGTCACATCGTATTTCACAAGTTTTTCAATAAAGTATAATCCGACCATCCCAAGTCCGCAGACAACAATGGTCTTCCTATCATCAACTGGAACCTCGGTAACTTCGTTAGGTGGCATTTTAATTTCAGAATGAACGAAGAATGCTAAATTTCACGAATGAAGATATAAAAAAAAAAAAACTGTCATGCAATGATTAACCCTACGATTTTTGTACTATATAAATATATTTGGTAGAAGTTAAATAAGGTAATCAAATCGTAAAACTGAACTTTAAATTATCAGAGATAACGGTTATATATATATTTATAATATATACTGAGCGGCAAGGAACGGAATTACACAAATATACATTTTTTCCATATTAATTTTTTGACAGTAAATATATAAATAAAATAAATTTCTATCAAGAGATAAGCATGCAATAACTTATCTGAGGGAACACAAACAAATAACGAATTTAGTAAATGTTGTACGATTCGTGTGCCGATAAATGGATTCATCGGAATCTTTGCATAAATAAGAAGAAAAAAATCGTAGGGTTAATCATTGCATGACAGTTTTTTTTTTTTTATATCTTCATTCGTGAAAT